TGTTTCATAGTTTTAAGAATATTCTGATGGAGTTTTATGCATTCTCTATGCAAAGGATTACATTCTCTGAAAGAAGGATAATTTGGTTTCTTCCTGTCCTATTTAAATCCCTATTATTTCTTGTGTTTCCTAATTGCTCTGGCTAGGTTTTGAGTACTAAATTGAACAATAGTGATGAAAGCAGATACGTTTATCTTGTTCTTGATATTAGTGGGGACACCAAACATATCTTTAATTCCCCTCATGTAGTATGATGCTGGCAGTGGATTTGTTGTAAATGGCTTTCACTATTTTAAGGTAAGGTCCTTCTACACCATTAGTCCAGTGCCATGCTGTTTTTATCTCAGTAGCTTTGTAGGGTAACTATAAACTGGGGATTGTGATGCCCCCTGCCTTGCCCTTGTTGCCAAGAACAGCTTTTGCTACTCTAGGTCTCTTCTGGTTCTATGTGAATTTTAGGATTGTTTTCTCTGTTTCTGAGGTATGCTCTTGGTATGCTATTGGTGAGGTATGCTATTGTTATTTTGATTGAGATTGTATTAAACCAGTGTAACAGTTTTGGAAGTATGGTCATTTTTATAATCTTTGTTCTACTTATCCAGGAACAGGGGATAGCTTTCATCATCTGATATCCTCTTCAATCTCCTTTTTCAGAGTACTATCGTTTTCAGTGCAGAGGTCTTTCACTTCCTTTGATTCCTAATTATTTCATTCTTCTTGATGCTCTTGTGAAAGGAGTTGTTTTCATACCTTGTCTTGGCCCCAGTCGATTATGTGATGAAAGCTGTACAAATTGTGAGCTAAATAAAACTCTCCCCCTTTAACTTTGGGTGTTAAGTATTTTTTCCCAGAAATGACAGAAAAGTAATTAAGACAAAGAATTGGTCTATTTAATTTTTCAAAGAATCAACTCTTTGATTCATTGATTCTTTCTATTATTTTCTTAGTCTTGTTGCATTAATTTCTGCTCTGATCTTTATAATGTCCTCCCTCATAGATGCTTTACAGTTCAATTTACCCTTTTTTTCCCCCTAGAAGCTTGAGGTTCAACATTAGGCTCTTTATTTGAGCTTGCTTGGTTTTTCAGATGTGGAAACTCACTGATACAAATTTCCCTCAGAGGACTGCTTTTTTCATGCCCCATAAGTTCTAATATGTTGTATTCGCCTGATTGTTTTTTTTTTTTTTAATTTTTGCACTGGGGATCAAACTTCAACCTCATGCCTACCAGCAGGTGCTTATGCCACTGAGCTAAATCCCTGTCCCTCCCCAACTGTTTATTATAGAAATTGTCTGACTTTTTGTTTAATTTAATATGTGACCATTGGTTGTTCAGCAGGATGTTATTTAATTTCCATATGTTTATGCAATTTTCAGTTTGTCACTGATTTCCAACTTAATTGCACTATGAGATGATGATATATATGTATGGACAACTTCATTTATTTGTATTTACTGAAGCATGTTCTATGAGCTAGTATGTGGTCTAGCTTGGAATAAGTCCCATGTGATGCTGAGAAGAACATACATGCTGATGTGAGATGGAATAATCTGTAGGTGTCTATTAAGTCCATTTGTTCAACGGTTTGGTTCACTTCTAATGTTTGTTGATTTTTTGTCTAGTTGATCTTTTTGTGACAGTGGGTATACTGAGGTTCCTTCTTACAACTGTATCAGTGCTTATCTGATTTTTCATATCCATTACTTCTGCACCAATTTTCAATAGATTTTTCCCATGAATAGGTGTTGGGTTTTGTAAAAAGCTTCTTTTGGCATGTACAGACATGTGGCCATGTCATATGTATCCTACCTTCTGCTGATGCAGTGCGTTACTTCATGGATCCATGAATGTTGAGCCATTTTGCATCCCTTGTTTCCAATAGGGAAACACCTGACCCTGAATGTTACTGCCACTGACAAGTCTGTAACTCTTACATTTGACAGTTGCCTCATTATCTTGTTTCTCAGTCCTAAACCATAAGGACTACTCCAGACAGTAGCCCTGCTCTTTTTTGTCTCCCCCCAACCCCATCAGCCCCCTCACTCAGTCAGGCCACCCAACCCAAACCAGCAGTTCAACACGTGCATCAGAGGAACTAAAAACACAGTCCCCAATGTAGGTGACACTCCAGGATGTACGACCCCTAAAAACCTCATTGACTTAGCCCTCACTGGCTTAGCCCTAACTCAGCCTGTGGAGCTCACCACTTCATGCAGAGATGCATGGTGGTTACTGGTTATGGCGGTGGTCTAACATGGTGGAAGGCCAAAGCAGAAGCCTACCACTTCCTGCTTCTTCCTCAGCCTTAATTATGATAGAGTTATTTCCAAAAGATGAAAAATATTAACAAAAGATGAGAAATATAAAATAAAAAGCGGCCTTTATTCTGAGAACATGGAGAGAGATGACCGGCACCCCCACCGCTGGCGTCCGGTGATCTCTCCGGCGGACACGTGGCTGGGGGCCTGTAAATAGCCTCGGTTTGGGGTGAAACCTAAGGCGGGCATTAGGGATACACAGGTAGCCCATTGGTCCTAGGTTTGGCGCCATATGTAAATTCCCAGGGGCGGGAAGATGGCTTCACAGGTAACTTCCTAGGGGCAGGGCAAGATGGGGCTTCCTGCTTCCGGTTGTGGCTTTCCTGGCTACAGTGTCCTGTCTGGGCCAAAACCTTTCAAATTACAACTCCCCTTCCTGTCTGCGTGTGAAGAAGACTCCAATCAGCTCCTTGCGCATCATCAATGGCCGCCTGAGCCCCACTCTCGCTCAAAGGTTACATTTGTCCCATATTCCATATTCCGGTCGAAGGAGACGGCCTAGCCATCATGGGTTGTGTGCTTCTTCCCATTGTCCTCATCTCAATAGACCTGTTCTTTTTGTACTTTTACTTCTCTATTGTGCTAGAAAACTCTTTCAGTTATGTAACCAATCTCTCTGCTGAACACTTCCAATGGCTGGACTGGAACGTGTGCCCTAGTCGGAACGGTTATTCCCTTCACAGCTGCTGAGTTCAGTCTCCTGATCCTTCTCGTGCAATGCCACTCAGTAAATCAGCCCCCATGTTCCTTGGACCCTACTAGCTGCCTGGATGCAACTGGGGTCCACCAGGGGTCCCAGATGAATTTATAGCTCAAATCCAAGTAGCTCCAGGATTTGAAAGTTCACTGTTCTGGTGAGTCACTAGCGACAAAAATATAAACTGTTCTATCATGAACAAGGTTTATAAGTGACACCGTGGATGCTATTAAGGAAATAGCTGAACAATTTGGGCCCACCAGCCAGATGACCTGGGAAAACACTCACTCTGGATACGATTCTAGCAGAAAAAAATGGTGTCTGCGTTATGCTAAGAACCCAATGCTGTCCCTTTATCCCAAACAACACTGCTCCTGATGGCACAATTACCAAGGCCCTCCAATGCCTGACAATCCTGTCAAAAAACTAGCCAAGTTATTAGACTCCTTTATCAGTTTACCAGGAAAATGGCTTGACAAAGAAAAGGACTTCATGGTCATCATACTAACTTCCATGTTGAAATTCTCCTTCTTATGGTTGCTATATAATCCCATGGTGATTCCCCCCAAAGTCCCTGAGCAGCATCAAGATGGGGAAATGAAGCAGAAATCCTCAGCTAACTGAAGCCATTCTGTTCAGTAAAGATGCAGGCAGGGGCTGGGGAATATAGCTCAGTGGCATAAATGCCTGCCTGGCAAGGGTGAGGTTATGAGTTTGATCCCTGGTACAAAACAAAACAAATCAAAAAAACAACTGAAGGCAATCTGTCCTCTGTCACTGAACTCAAAATGAATCATATGATTTGTTATCAGATTGAAACTGCTGTGAATGTGCTTCAAATAACTTGGCTATGTGTAATGCTCACTGTCATGACTTTCAGCTAAAGCTTATCTCTTTCTGTTTGCCCTAAGACAGACAAGCACTCTGTAATCATTGCCTACAATTTTGTGGATTACTTTGGGGTCTGCTAGCATCAGTAAAATTTTCTTTCTTCTCAGCTCCTAGCTATTATGGACTCAATTTTCACTGCAACACAAGAAGGGATGCAGTGAGAGCACTGTACAATTGGAGATTGAGAGAAGTTGTGAGGTCAAACCTGTTAATAATGCTGATACTGAGCTTGTGTTTGAATCCTCTCTATGTAGTTTCGGTGAGTTACCCTGCAATGCCCATGAAAGATACTATTTAGATTAAGGCACTGGTTAGTTCTTATTCTGCTTTTTGCATATATAGACAATATGTATATATATGTATTTGTATATATATAAAAGAAAGGGTAAAGCCAATCAACCTCCCCCAGTGAGCATCCTCTTATTTATATTGTGGTCTGAATTCAACTGGTGTGCTGTCCCCCTTACATTCCCAAGTGGAAGAGCTTCAATCTGTGTGTGTGTGTGGCCTGTACCGAATGCTCGTTCTGGCTTTTCCCTCCACCTCTGCATTCCATAAAGCATCACTGTGTCTTCTCCTTTATCAACCAACTGCCTGTTCCCACAACTCAATGAGCAGGCTCACCTTCTAGGGATTGCTTTCTGGCTGGCCAGTGAATGAAGGGTCCAGAGGGTCCAGGTGGACCCTCCTCTCTGAAAGCAGCACTTTCCTTAGTTTCCGTTTTGCTCCTGTGGGCATGCTAGCTGGGCTTTTGCCTTTGTCTTGTGATGGGACATTTTCAATTGAGTTGGTGTGGAGGAGGAGGAAGAGGAGAAAGGGCCAGTATCTAGTCTTTTCACTAATTTCTGGTAAGTCTTTCTCAATCTTTACTCCCTTCACTCCATGATAATCTCTGAGACTGGCATCTGGATTCACTTTGTGCAAGGCTCCTGAGAGTGTGCTGGATCATGCTCTCTAACTAAGCTGCTTGCTGTGACACAGACGGCTCCTGAGGTTCTTGGGGTGAAGGGCCATGAGAGGATAAGAAAAATAGCGACAAAGCTGAGGTCAAGAGGAGCCCTTATCCCCGAGATGGGAGGAAAGAACTGCTCAATCACTGTAGCATGTTTATTTATACCCTCCAAAGAAGAATGCCAATTTTAACCCTGCTGCTTTGCAATCTGTCTGCCTGGTAGACCTGGGTCCCTTGCTTTCTTGGTCCTGGAACACTTGTTAAGTGGCTTGCTTTGAGCTCTGTGTGTTTTCAGGGCCGGTCTTGCTTTAGCCCCACACATGTGATCAATCTCCAGCTTCAATGGCTCCCTCCATATCCCTCTTTTTCATTTTGTTGTAGCACAGGATGGGTGGTCAGTTAAAGCTGGAGGAGTTGTGTTTGAAGAACTCTGTAGAAGACCTTTTTATTTTAAGAGCAGTCCAAGGATTTTAAGTCCATGCCTTCCACAGCTGAAACCCTGTGCAGTCCATTAATCCATAACAGCAGACAGCTATCAGTGTAGCTGGCAATTGTCAGAAGGGGTTATTGATTTGAGTTTCTTTTATAACATTGCTTTAGCATTGTTTTGTATACCCCTAGTAGTTGTACGTTTTCTTCAAGATGTTCAATACTAAGTTAAGGTGAGACTTGTTTTAAAAACAATCAGTATTTTTTTTAATCTATCAAGGTCAGTTAGGTCTTCTCAGGAAATGCCTTGGAACCACACATAGCACTTCTTCTTAGTTCTGGCTGTGTCAGCCATTTGGATGAGTCACGGCCACTGCTTGACCAAATTGCTTTCTATGAAAGCTGGGAGACTTTTTCTCCTGGTGACTCTCCTTAGGCACACCACACACTGATGATCATTCTTCTCTGTGGTCTCATAATCTTCTTGATCAGAAAATTAAGGACTCACTGAGTACAGGAAGTCAGAGCAGAGGTTCTCTTATGTTCTGGACCTCACTGACCTTGGAGGGCTAGGGCCAGAATATTGGCTATCCTCTTAGCCCATCTGCCTCTCTAATTTTTAGCCTCTAAACTTCAGTTATTGAACATCCAGAAGAAAAGACTGATAACAGCACAGTGTAGTAGAGGCAGCAAGTTTAACATTATTATCTTATCTAAATATCAAGCATCTTAGAGCATCAAATGAAACTATTTTCTACTGTCCATGGGTGTTTTTAACATTTGAATACCTGTAGAATGTTGTTACATATTTTACACAGAAAATCAGAAATCAGACCCACATAAAACATTATAGCATGACAATCATATGACATTTTGTAACACATCTGAATTTTCAGTTTGACATAAAATGTCTCCTTTCAGTCAGTCATCCATATCTAATACATAAGAAGCTTTTACCTAACTTGATTACCTTTAATGAGATGTACATCTAATTAGTTTTTGTTAAAGGCAGAGGTCTGAATCTGAAACAATATTCAGTCACCATAAACAATCCTTGTTTCCCATTTTGGAAAACCTGTATATCTGGAAGCATGAATACATTGATACACCATGAAGTTAATAACAATCTGTCATAGCCACACTGAAAACCTTTTATGGGCATCTTTAAATCAAAAACCTTATTGTTTCGTTTGACAATGACCAAGATGAACATATCACAATAATGTAACTAAAGTTAGGGTGTCTCCCATAAGGCTATGGAGATCACTGGGGCCTCTGTTCAATTGAAGTCCTATCCAATAACCTCTCCCTACCCTAAGGGATTTTTTTTAATCATCTTTTTTTTTTTTTTTTTTTTGTCTTTTTTGAGACAGTGTCTCACTATGCAGTTCAGGCTGGCCTTGAGCTCACTTTGTAGCCCAGGCTGGTCTCGAACTCCCAACAATACTCCCACCTCAGCCTCCCAAGTGCTGGGATTACAGGCATGAGCCACCATGGCTGGCTTTGTTTAATCATCTTAATAATTTTTAATGACTTAATAAAAAGCCAATCATAACATTTAACACATTGTTTTTGAACAATGAGAGACTCTCAAGTTACAATAAACAATGTACATTTACACAACCAATTTTAGCAACATTTTAACTGGGAACCCAGGTGAAAGCATGGTTTTTAAGTCTATTACCCAAATTAAACTTTGATTAAATGATCGAAAAATATAAAAAATATAAAAAAAGAAAAAGTTGTTTAGGTCAAACAAAAAAGGAACAGCTGTTTACAGAATGGACAAAAATGGACAGACAATCCGTACAGATTGGGACAGACATAGAAACAAACAGAGTTGTTAAGTGTCCACAAAATTTCTGTTTACACACTTTAATCACAACCTTTTGCTGAACCTTTCGCTTCTTACACCGTGGTCTTGGTGTTGGAACACCTGTCACCTCCAGCACCCCATATCCCCAGCACGTTTTTGAGGCGCTCTGTGCCCTTGGGCACTCCTGTACATGCCCTTGTGCTTTTGGCTCTGCACATGTGAATGATTACTAGCTTAGCTGACTCCCAACTGCTTAATAGATTGGACAAACAGATACAGGCAGACTGACAAACATCTTATACAACCAGTACACTCAAATATATCTTGGCCAAATTGAATTATAGTAATTTTTACAATTGTAGAATTTGTGACTACAAATAGACTAGTCAGATTTGTGGTGGATCACTTAGCAGAGTTCTCTTGTAAAAGAATCCAAAAAGGACAAAATCTTATGTATAATTAATATATATTTTTTGCCATAGGACTTAGTATACACTCTTATCATCTATCTGGACCTTTGGTTTTATTTTTGGGTACCATCTCCTGGGCATCCTGGGTTAATTAAGGTTGGTTCTAGCTTCATCCTGTCAGTTGTGTCGTGGTCTCTGAGGCATCTCTGTTGTAGGACTGAGCATCTGCTTCTTGAGAGGTGGAATCAGCTACTTCTCTGGTTTTGGGTCCATGATACAGCTGGATAATATGCACTGGCACCCACAAAGGTGGTTCAGCATTTCCTAGAAAAACGTAAGTACACCCTCGACCCCAAATTAGCACTGAGCTGGGTTCCTTCTATCATCTAGTATGAAGATCTTTCTGAAGGACCCTTCCTAGCTTCTTTCTTTTACCTGAATTGTCATCCCATTGTTGTAGTTCTACCCTTAGTAGGATTTAAAATTTTGATAGTATACACTGCCCAATTAAGTCTAGGTAAAATTCCCCTTTTGTTTTTGTAATTAAATTTTGAGCAAGAATAGTAATTTTTAGCCTGTATCTCGGTTAAATGGAATTGTCTGCACCATAATTATACCACTAATGAAACTGATATACTCCCCCCACCCCCAAAGGGGTTTCTCAAGGGCCTGTTTATAACTGGCCCCAGAAAATAAGGGAGTTTCAGCGCCCCGGATGAATCAGTACACTCCAGTGCTGAATCAATGCACCCCAGTGCTGACTACGGACCTAGAGGAGGGAGTTACATGAGGGCACACACAGCATTGTATCAATGAAATATTGAAGGACTGTAACTTGGGAAAGTTCACCACAGGCCAAATCATGGGATAGCACCTGACTAAAAAGATGAACCCTTGTGGAAGCACAGACCAAGTCAGTGGAGGGGGCTGGTCATTAGGATTTTCAAAAGCAAAAAGCAACTAGGAATCTGGATGCCAAAGAACACAAGAGCATCTTTTAAATCTAACACCAAATTGTATTGTTTTGTTTTTATTGTTTCTATTCTATCCTGTTCTGTTTGACTTTTACTATGTCTGAAGTTATCTGCAGCTATTTTGAAGACATCAAAAGTCAGTATGGTAACTATTGCTGATTTTGTAATGTTTTGAAGTCCTGTATCTCTTACACTGGTTTGTTTTGATTGGTTTTATTGTTTTATCCTCTATAAAATAAAATAAATCTAACAACAAGAACCAATTGGCACCCTCAGGGATCTGGGAAAGGACAGTCTATGTGTTGGTCACCTAGGTGGATGGGTGCTACCACCTCCTTTACTAATCTAAAATCCTGTACCAATCTTCACTCCAGTGAGTTTCTGGACTCTCAAAATTGGAGTGTCCCCAAATTGAAGAGTTACAAGAACTGTTAACACAGTGTAAGTAAACCTTGTGCCCTTGTCAATTATAGGTAACAGTCTTCTTCTAGCTTCAGATCTCAGAGGATGTCATCTCTGGTGAGGAAAAACAGTGGGGTCTCTGAGCTCTCTTTGCATTGGGGTAGCTCCTATTCCAACTGTGTCCTTTTCATAGCCTCTATTTCAGAATTTATTTTGATCTCCACTAGAGGGAGGCAACGTGCCTAAGGTGCATATATACTACAGTATTTAAACAAGATTAAAATCTCTCCCCAAAGAGGAGAACTGGGCTTTCAGGTATGATCAAAAAGGAATGAGAAGAGAAAGCCATCCAAATTACAGCCTAAAGGGTGTGAAAAGTAAAGAATCACTTCCTCACCAGTAACTTCTTTTACTGAGCTATGGTGGCTGGAAGGCCAGGGTTGAAGAGTAACTCAAAGCCGAGTTCCATGTTCAGCAAGAGGCTGAGTCTTTTCCCTCTACAGTCATGATTATCCAAGATTTCTCTGTGGAAGGGACAGCTTGGCCAGATGGAGAGTGCGAGGAGTGCCCCAGGGCCCTTCTGTCTTGTTGGATGTCTGCAGGCCTGACCCCTGGATGATTCATCCCTGGGGCTAGTCTTATTGTAGGCCGCTAAGTTAGATAGATGTACAGTCAGAGGGGAGCTGGGCTCTCAAAGTCAGGGCAAATTAAGACATCAGATTTGTGACTGGAGGTGCATCTGAAGAAACCAGGCCTTAACATAGGATGCAGTAGCCAGGCACAAAGTGCCTAAGGGACAAGCAGTAACTTGGAATTATACTATAATTAGCACCACCTTGCCCAGGAACTACAGCCTTGTATCAGTTGCCCAAGGTGAGGAACCAGAACATCCAGCCCCACCCCTTCCCCAAAATGCCATTGTTCTATGTACCCTTGTTACATGACCGACTTCCCTTCTGGATCACTATTAGCTAAGGAACTACACTTGCAATCCTCTAGGTTGATTGTAGTTTGACTCACATTGTGATTTTGCTGTCTAAATTCTTTTGTCCCAGTGCAACCCACTTCCAGGACATCCTTTCTCTCAGGAGCTGTCTCTCAGTAAACCTTTTCTACTTCTAGCCACTGTTAGCCTTTGCTTTGCTTTATCTCATCTTGCAGGCTGGGAGCTGTATTTCTCTTACATCATCTTGGAGGTTGTACTAAGATGATTGGAAGGAGGTAAAAGTTTGCTTATGTTTCATGACACCCTTAAGTACTCTGACTAAATTCTGGAGTGTGGCTCATTTCAGTAATCAAAAATTGTCATCCACTGTTTACTGGTTGCTTAAGCTGTTAAAAGGTGAGAGCATCGAAGACTCCGATGTGTTCATATCAGGTTTCATTGGTGGGAGGTTTTTATTTTTGCAGGCAGAGCTCCTTTGTTATATTCTCATTTCATATATGCTGCATTTGAACTTAAACTTAATTCTACACTGGTTGCTGAACTTGCTTGATTGGCTAGTTTGGTAGTTACAAGATGGCTTGTTTTATTTTAGACGGCTGTTTGGAATGGTTTTTTGAATCTCTCATTGCTGCTTTGCCACTCTCACTCACAGGTCTGTCAGGCCAGGGGACAGGTTTTGCAGTTGGCTTCTGTTGTAGATAGCTGTTATCACCGTCAGTAAATGGTAATATGCGTTTTATACAATTCTGAAAATCTTTTTTTCCTTTCCAGTTGGAAGTTCCTGAATCCTTAGATTTTGAGTGCTCATCTATAGGCATTGCTTTATAAATGACATACCCTACCCCTGGGTTAGACAAGGATCAGAATTCATGCTTATTCAGAAAGGAACACATGAGAGTTTTGGCTGATCCAGTGCCTGGGCAAGGGTTTTCTCCTGTGACCAGCAGGATCGACAGATGAAAATATGTAGTTGTTCAGGTCTCTTGGCCATTGGCTTAATATTTCACTGGCAACACTTCCCTTCTTAAAGACGGCTGTTCTAGCAGGAATCAAGTGTGGCCTGTGCTTTTAACATACCCTGGAGCTGGAAATGTGGGTTTTCAGAAGAAGTAGGTGTATGCACCGGAAAGGGTGGCTAGTCCAGCCCTACCTATCTTTTGGCTACTCTGCAGATGCCAGCCACCTGCTCTGGAGCAGGGAAACCTCAAGGAACACTTTGAGAGCATGTGAAAACCAAGTAGGGGTTAAAAGGGTCACCTCATTTTTTCCCTTGTTCTGCAGATGGAAAACTCAGTGTTAAATGCCCTTATTTCTTTGGAGTGTATTTTAAGCACTGGAAATTGTTTGACCTTTACACTCTTGAGGAAGAGCTGTTCAATATTGTTCTGCACCCTGCATGGTCTGCCTATCCCCCAGAGGTAAAAGGGAATGCAGAGGAAATGCTGATTGTGGTACTGTTTTATAGTGGCGATGTACTGTAAGACAGAGGAAGGTCAGAGGGGTCTTACGTTTGGGCTTTCTCCGCATTGAGACAATCCTGACTTGTGTTTGCACTACAGATGTGGGGCCACTGGAAAACCAAATGCTTGTAGACCTTGGGGCACAGTTTGATGTATTTACCATTACTGAGCCTAAGTCTCCCTACATTAAGGATAAGACTTTCAAAGCAACCCTAAATGAGGTCTCTACCGGGCTGTATCCACCTCTGATTTTGTTCAAGCTCTAGGGCAATATCCCTCACAGGAGGTGGGTGGAGAATTCAGACCTACCTGTGCCCAAGTGTCCTTCAATTTCAGTGGCCTCAACCAGGTCAAGTAAGATCTGGGATCATTTTCAGACAATCTTGATAAATACACTGAGTTCTTTAGGGGATTTACTCAGACCTATGAATTGAACTGGAAAGATGTAATTGCTCTTAGGTCAAAATTGATTTCTAGTGCAAAACAAGCGGCAGTACAGGTTGCTATTACATTTGGAGATGAATATCATTTTAAAAAAGAGAGCCAAGCATGATGGCACACGCCTATAATCCCAGCACTCGGGAGGCTGAGGCAGGAGAACTGTTGCAAGTTCAAGAACAACCAGGGCTGTAAAGTGAGCTCCAGACCAGCCTGAACTGCACAGTGAGATCCTGTCTCTAAAAGACCAAAAACAAATGAAAAACCAAAAACACAACCAGAAGAAAGACAGCAAGGGGAATAGGCAGTTCCCACTGGACCTAAGGCAATTTCCGTACAAGATTCCTACTTGCTTTCATAGATGAAAAAGTGTTTTTCCTTCTGACCCTCATCACAAGAGATCTCTGTTTACTGCTGACCTACAAGAAAAGTTCTGAATAATCTATTTATAGTTACAAACCTAAAAACTGTAAAGGGTTGTTGCAGTTCAATTTGGGCAGTAGGTCTGAGAGCACCCTGACTTAAAATAATTGTTTTTGTGTTTATATATTTGTCCATTCGTCTTTCAAAATTTTTTAAAATTCAAAACATCCATTTCTTACTTGAAGTGGGCGAAACAGGAAAGGCAGTAATGCATTATTTTTTGAAATACAAGTGGTCTTCTATCTGTAAGCTCTAGCACATCAATAGAACAAAATGGGTTTAAAATTTCACTTAAGATAATTTATCATTAGCATTTTTTACAGAAAAAATACTTTGGAACCAAATCAAGACTGCGTTAATAAATTACAATCATGCTAATGAAAACTTCCTGGAGGGTTACAGCCAAAATCCAAACGGTAGGGCTATCTTCCAAAAAACTGAAACATAAAATGCTGGGTTCAATTTAGATATCGTCAATGTCTTCATCATTATCTCCAATGTCATCGAACTGAATTTCATCATCATCTCCGGGACCAAATGTATCAGTTTCATTGATCTTAGCATGCTCAGGAAGCTCGCCATACGCTTTTAGACTTCTCGCTTCGTCCGCATTGTACTTAAGAATCACATCAGCTTTGTTATCCTGGTAATCTCGGAGACCAATCAGTATGATGTCTGAGGTATTTATCCAAACCTTTTTCCTCAGTTTCCCCCGGATGTGACATAACCTCTTCACACCATCGAAACACATTGCTTCTAATCGTCCGTTTCCCAACATCTTGATTACCTGAGCATATTCTTGCCCGTCCTCTTTGAACACCAATTCTCTTTTTTCAGATTCGTTCTCATTCTTACCTCTGCGTCTGTTTTTACCTCCTTTACCTTTATTCTTGGGCATGGCGGTAAGGACAGCGGAACGGCTTCTCGGACTTCTTGCCCAGGAGGCTGCAGCACCTCTGAGGGCGAGACCAGCGCAGCGAAAGACGGCGCCGTGCAGACCAGCGCTGGAGGGTGAGCAGCGTGCACACACAAGCCTGGCGACCTCGTTCTACCCAGAAACGCTTGCGCAGCAGCCAATGGCGGGAAGGCTGTTGCGTAGTTTTTCCCCGCCCTCCCCACCGCGTTAGCACCGCCCTTCCTCGCTTTGGCTCGGCGGCGCGGCGCAGGCGCAAGCGTGGCCGACTGAGCCTTGGTGTCGGAGGCCAGCGAGAGGCATTCTGGGAGGATTGGCTGCGGCTGAAGGGATCTCAGCGGGAGGGGTGCAGAGAGAATGGGCCATCTGCTTTTTTGTGTGTTAGAATGGGCCGTCTGCTTTTTTGTGTGTTAGTAACTGGTTAAGAAAAATACTTTTTTTTTTTTTTTAGCTCAACGATTTCTTTTTGTTTTTTTGCTTCTTTTGAGATTTCCGTGGAAAAAAACATTTATATAGGTTTTCTAGATTTAAAGTGTCCCTGCGTTTTCCGTGTTCCTCGTTCCCAAGAGGAACAAGGACACACAGTGGCCTGAACAGTCACCGCGGTCCTGCAGGAAGGGACTGAGGCGCCTCAGGGGTGCAAGGAAGGAATCTGAAAAGCCCTCAGGCCCTGAAACTGGGCACAGAAAATTGTGAGTGGGTGAATCCTAAGACGGCAGATCTTGGAAAGAAATCACGCGTTCAAAAGTAGGAAATTTTTCTTTGACGCAATCTTAAAAAAATTTTTTTTGTATTTCATATTATCTTTCATTCATCAAGGTCTTTAAAATTTTGTAAAAATTTTTTCTCCTTTAAAATTTTTTTCTCTCCTTTTTCAATATTTTGTCTTTTTACTTTGTTTTTGCATTCTGCTTATGTTTTAAATTTGTTTTTCTTGATTATTTTTTCCTGTGAGTGTTTGCTATCACTATTAACTTTCTTTTACTTCTCAATAGGACCCTTGTCTCTATTTTCTCCTCAAATTCTATTAATTTTTCAAATTTTGCTTTTTCCTTTTTGCTGGTTCCTAACCCTTCTATCTTTGCTAGTATAATTACTAAGACTCTAGATAGGCCATTAACTTTATGCTGTTAGTGTTATTGTTTTATTGTTAATAGAGGCAAATTTGCTCCATTTAGGAGATATTTATGATAGGTCAATGATAGATCAAGATTTGATTTGTCTTGGTATTCATAATATAATTATAAATTTGTTTTCTTTGGTTAAGGGTGGTACTTTATTTGTCCATAGGGTCTGACAGTGCTCACTTTGTATTTGACTATAATTTGTCGATATTCAGTATGTATTTGGTATATAATCGATGCTGACTTTGCTTTTTTTTTTTTTTTTTTGGTACAGGGGATCCAACTCACAGCCTTGTGCTTGCCAGGCAGGCACTTATGCACTAAGCTAAATTCCCGGCCCCTTTGATGCTGATTTTATTACTGTAGCCAAGGTGACATAGTTGTTACTATTAATTGCTTTCCTTGATATGCAGATATCTGGATTGGCTTAGAATATTTAACAATACTGTGGCCCATTGCTGGAAAACTTGGTACTGAGCAAAGTACACTGCAACCTCCTATCTCCAGTAAATGGAGGTGGGAAAAATGTCAGTGATCAACCATGCCAAGGGGACATCAATGGAAAGTAGACATTAACTAAAGAGGTGACATTTGCAGATTAATAAATGTAATATACCATATTAGAGCCAAGGAGAAAAACCATATGATTATCTCAATAGATGCAGAAAAATCATTTGACAAAGTATAGCAGCCATTCATGATGAAAAACAATTCTATAGTAAATTGGAATAGAAGGTCCTCAATGTGATAAAAACCATCTATGATGAACTAACAATAAATGCTCAAAAGCGAAAAACTTTTACTCTTAAAATCAAGACCAAGACAAGGATACCTACTATCATCACTTGTAGTTCTGTAAACATTAGCCAGAGCAATTAGGTAAAAGAAAGATTAAAAAGATTATAGATAGGAAAGCAAAAAGTTAAATTATCATTGTTTACTGGTGACATGATACTTTAATAGAAGACTCCCAAAATGCCATGGGGTTCAGGTCCTCAGCTAGATTCTTTGAGTCTGTATCTCACAGAATTAGAGAAAACTGTCCTAAAATTCATATGGAACCAGGAGAGACCTAGAATAGCAAAACCAATTCTGGGCAACAGGGGCCAGGCAGGAGGCATCATAGTCTCTGATTTGAAGTTACATTACAAAGCTACTGTGTAAAAACAGCATGGTACTAACAAAACAAAACAAAAACCACTAAAAACCAAAAGCAAACAAAATCAAGACAAAACCCCAAAAAACAACAAAAAACCCAGATCCGAGGATCAGCAGAACAGAATAGAAGATGCAGAAACAACTCTCAGTACATGTAGCTACCTTATCTTTGACAAAGAGGCCAAAAACATTCACTGGAAGAAAGATAGTCTTTTTAAATAACTGGTGCTGGGAAAAATGGCTTTCCATATGCCAAAAATTGAACTTAGACCCATATCTCTCACCATGTACTAAACTAAAATCAAAATGGATCAAGGATCTAAATATTAAATGGAAGCAATCTACTGGAAGATAGAATAGGTAAAACTCTAGAAGATATAGTTGTAGGCAAAATTTATGTATAAAACCCTGATGACACAGGAAATACTAGAATCAATGAGGATCACATGAAATTAAAAGCTTTTGCACATTAAAAGAAACCACCAACAGAGTGAAGAGACAAGCCGCAGAATGGGGAAAAAAATTTGTACCAGCTACTCCTCAGAAAAGGACTAATACGTAGAATATATAAAATACTAAAAGATCAGATTCCCTAAATTTAAAGTAACAGTTCAAAACTGAGCATCTGAAACGAATAGACATTTCTCAGATGAAAAAATGCACACAGCAAATAACTATATGGAAAAATACTCAACATCACCATTCATTTGAGAAATGCAAGTTAAAACACTGAGATTCCGTCTCAGTTCAAGAAGATGAAGTCAACCTATAAAAATGCTGTTGGGAGTGTATACTGGTATAGCCCTCATAGAAATCAGTATGGAGATACCTCGAAAAACTAAATCTAGAGCCTCTATTTGACCTAGGATTTTCCCTTCTAGGTATCTTCTGAAAGAGTTAAAAGCATCATGCCACAGTGATATATGCATATTCAGGTGCATAGCAGTACCATTTATAATAGCTAAATCTTGGAAACCGCCCATATGGCTATCAAGAAGAATGGAGCTGGGCATGGTAGCCCATGCTTGTAACCTCAGCACTTGGGAGGTTGAGGCAGGAGGATTGTTGCGAGTTTGAGATCTGCCTGGGCTACAAAGTGAGCTCAAGTCCAGCCTGAACTGCATGCATAGTGAGACCCTGTCTCCAAAGGGGGGGAAAAATTTAAAAATATGTTATTTATATACAATGGAGCACAACTCTGCCATAAAGAAAGATAAACTTGAGTCATTTGTAGGTAAATGGATGCACATTAAGGCCATAATCTTGAATATAAGACAAGATTAAATATAGCATTAGCATTGCTTCTCTTGTATGAGAAATGCAAAGTGTAAATGAGGAACAGAGTGCAGGATAGATATTGGGAAGTAGGGAGCACGTGTTCAAATAGGAAGGCAAATAAGGTGGAGGGAAGGAAGGAAGGGAAAAGTAAAGAAAATGAAAGAAAAAATAAAAACATCTTTTGTAAATGGGGGTGAGGAAGGATTAAAGGGAGGGGAGGATAATAAGTACAGATTCTCTGTGATGAATGTGATCAATATGTATGGCAATACGCACTAACAAATACAGTTAAAAAAAGGATCAGTGAGAAGTGGGGGCCTTCAGGAAGGCAAGAGTTTCAACTGCACCTTCCATAAAGATGGTAAGGTCCTTCCCAGGATACAGGAGGCTAAGTCTTATGGCAAGACCTGAGATAAACACTACTATTCAGGCAACACTGAATGAATTTTCACTCTGTGTACTGATTCGCTCTACACCTTTACATAGAAACACGATTCCACATCTTTATGTAGTTACTCACTGGCTGTAACTCTGAAATACTTCTCTGTCCAAGTCCTGGGTTATACCATGTCATGTCTTCTATCTAGATGTCCCTGCAAAACCTCAGGCCTCATAAGTGGGGTCTTTGAGAGGTGGCTGGATCATGGGTGTGTGATACTGGATTAAGGATAACTGGATTAGTTCACAGATTGTTCTGGTTGTATATAATGGAAAGCCCAACTCCATATGTGGGTGACACCAACCATTGGCCTGTACCCTGGATGGAATATAAAGGAAAAGGGAGCCGGGGATTTAGCTCAGTGGCGTACGTGCCTGTCTGGCAAGCTCAAGGTCATGAATTCCTTCGATCCCTGGTACCAAAAAAAAAGGAAAAGGGAGCACTGTTCACCGCTTTCTGTCTTCTGTGTCATGGACTGTTTCTCCTGTGGGATGCCCCTCTGCCATGCTACTCTGACTCAAAGCCAGCTGACTATGGACTGAAACCTCTGCAAACTGAGATAAATAAACCTGACTTCTCAACTTGTGGGCATCAGGTATTTTGTAGTATGGGCTGGTCTTGAACTCACAGCAGTCCTCCTGCCTCAGCCTCATGAGAGCTGGGATTATAGGTGTGTGCCACCATGCCTGGATGCGAGTCTTCTTATGAGCGAGCTTTAGTTTCAGATAAACTCTTGCTGCTTCTTCCTTTGTGGAGAAAATCATCAAGTACAGCTAAAATTCTTGTGGTGAGGGAGAGAGTCTGGGAGGTATTCTTGCTTAGTGGAAAGCTTATGGTTGTTTCTGGAAAGCATACTATGTCATGCTTGGCTTGTAAATTTCCATCCAAAAAGGACTCCTTTGTGACTGTCGCCACTCTTTACCATAACAGGCTAGCTAAGGCTTGGAATTACAACTTAAGACTCTAAAGCAAATCCTATGTGCTAAATTGACTGGAAGTGTGAGGATCTTTAGATGTCTAAGCTATTATGTGGATATTTAAAGTTTCATAACTTTTAAAATATTTATTTAAATTTGTGAAATGTTCCAAGCTGCATCTACCATAGTTTTTAAAATCTATTTAATAAGAAGCCAGTAGATAAGAAACAACTGAAAACT